GAAACCCAGGGTCTCCACACCAGATCAGTATGGTGGCTGACTCTCCCACCTTTGGGCAGGGACTTGGGAGCTGCCTGCAGTCACTGGGGGGCTCAGATGCAGTGTTGTGGTCTGCAGAATTGGGTGCTGCTATGTGGCACGGTGTGAGCTGGGCCTGTGCCACACACTGTTTCCCCTGTGGCTGCAACTTTAAAGGCTTCAGGGGAAGGGGAACTATACCGCAGAGTTGTTGACTCGAGTCCCACGACTTGAACTCGAGTCGGACTTAAGTCGCCGAGGTGACTCGACTTGAGACTCGACTCGGGTTCATTGTTTGTGACTTGAGATTCACTAATTTTGTTAAATCGACTTGGTGAAAAAATTCTCCAAAAATGCCGCTGTTGTTAGTAACAAACCACCCACAGTGGTGATCGCGGCCCCGCCTCCCAGCTGGACTACTAGTAGTTAGACAGTATGATTTATGTTAATAAATGAAAACAGGTAGTGGTTATTGTTATTTATCGATATTAATAGCTTGTACAAAAGTGACCTGACATTTTTTAAATTAAGAGACTCGACTTGGGACTTGACTCGAAAGTGACTTTAGGGACTCAACACTCGACTTGAGACTTGAACTGCAGTGACTTGAGACTCGACTTAGACTTGACAATGACGACTTGAAGACAACACTGCTATACAGTCCTCATGAGTGTGGACAGAGCGTCCAGCAGGGCACCTCTGCGAAGCCCTGGGGGGCCTCTTATTCCAAAATAACCACAGTTACGCTGTCTACACATGCCCTAATCCAAAATAACTATTATTAATGAGGGTTATGGATTTCAAAATAAGATACCCGTTATTTCAAAATTATTTCAAAATAACGTTGCTGTGTAGATGTGCCCTAAGATTCCACATGGTTACACGACGATGCAATTACACGATATATCTAACATCCCTAGCATCCATACTGATGATGGGCTCTGCTCAACAACCAAAGCAGTGAGGACTGACGCATGTTTGTTTCATCATCTGAGTTTGATGCCACCAGCTGACGGTTGGTTTTCTTATCTGGTTGTTTGGGTTTTGTAGTTTCTACATGCTTTTTAAAGCATGCTTCAACCTTGTCTCCCTCAAATTTTGGAAGGCACTTCTGATTCTTAAACACTGGGTCCAGTGCTATGCTTGCCTTTAGAAATCTTACATTGGTACCTCTTCTGTTTTCTAAAATCTGCAGCAAAAGCATTCTTAACACGAACATGTGTTAAATCATCATTCAGGACTGCCATTGACATGAAATATACAGCAGAATGTGAACGAAACAGATGGAGATATACAATTCTCCTCCAAGGAGTTCAGTCACAAACTTAATTAACGCATTATTTTTAAAATGAGCGTCATCAGTATGGAAGCATGTCCTCTGGAATGATGGCCAAAGCACGAAAGGACATATGAATGTTTAGCATATTTGGCATGTAAATACCTTTCAATGCTGGCTACAAAAGCCCTACGTGAATGCCTGTTCTCACTTTCTAGTGATGCTGTAAATAAGAGATGGGCAGCATTATCTTCTGCAAATGGAACCAAATTTGATTGGCTGAAGAAGAAGTAGGACTGAGTGGACTTGTAGACTCTGAAGTTGTGCAGTTATATAACACAAACACTCTACTTGCAAGAAGCAGCCATGTAGGACA